CGATACGCAAATTGTTTTTTTAGTTTATTCGGTAAATGATCGAAACAGTTTCAATATCATCGATTTTTGGGTGAAGAACTTAAGCGAAAACAATGCAACTCCATCCCTCTTCGTTTTAATAGCCAACAAAAGCGATCTTGATCGAGGCGACGATGGAGTCACAATGGAAGAAGGAATGAAGAAAGCCGAAGATATAAATGCACGCTTTTCAGAGGTTAGTGCAAAAACCGGAAGTGGTGTCGTTGAGCTCCTCGATGCAATCGCGAAAGATTACGTCGAAACACTGAATCAAGATAAATCGTCTAAAAATGATGAGAAAATGCCTGCTTTAGCAGAAGACAAACAAAAGGAAAAGAAATGTTGCGCATGATCTTCTTTTTTCCTAAAATGTTCTTAGACTTTATTTTTATCTACTTTTATTTGATTCTATTTAATAATTTCCAATTTTGTATTATTTCGCGATAGTTTCTATCTGTTACGACAAAGTAGCGATAACATAAAGGGTACATTTTCATAAACATCAAATTGAGGAAAATTCTGAAAACTCATAGAAAAAATGTTTGAGAGACCTCCACATTCAATCTATTGGCCTTAATAAAGAAAAAAAATGACCTAAAGATTTGATGATCCTATCAATATCTATAAACTTTTTGTAATAAGTTGTAAAAAGCATTGAAATATTATCTCAATTTGGATGTGTGCCATTTAAATTTTAACCATTAGAAAAACTAGATAGGGCAACTTTTTCTCCCAATTCATGCTATAATAGAGGTGGTTAATCTTTTAATAATTAATCATCGTTGATATTCATTCATGGAAAATTATTCATATTGACTATTTATCGAAAATACGTCTTATTTGTAATAATAAATGTTGGCTTCTCAGAAGGGAAAAAACAAACATCAGTGTTTTGAAAAAAGAATAAAGTCATATTTATTTTTTAGTTTGGTAATTATAACATACAATATGGGAATTCGAATTCAACTTTTTCAGTACTTATCTAGTTCTGTCATTGAAAAATCGGCTAATTATATAATGAAAAAGTCGATTTGCTTATTCCCCGCTTTGTTCAATCAACTCCTTCTTCTTCTTCATCACTTCTAATTGAATCTTTGAACTTAACCAATATTTCATACATTCTATCAAGACTGTTTGCTCCTGTTTCAAGCCTCTGTCTTCTTTCCATCAATTCCTGCATTTCTGCTCTTAATTGGTTGATTTTTGCACCTCTTTCAGCGACATTTGTCATTTGCCTGACAAAAAATGCCTCTCTTGTTTCAATTATGGGCTTAATCTTGGAGGAGAAGCAGAGGTGAAGTGGTCCAAGTGTGGAAGAAAAAGCGGAACTCATTTCTTCGAAATTTGATTTGAATTTCAAAAGATGCGAAAATTGGACTTTGGAGGAAGCATTCAATTTTAGAGCAACGTGCGATGAATAATGGCTTGACATTCCGTTTAATCTGTTTTTGAATACGTTTAAATTGGTATTAAATAATTCACGGATGCTTCTGGATGCATCTGGCAATAGAATTTCTGAGAGATGAGCTAACATCGGTATTGATTCGTTGAAAAAATTGAATGCAGTTTGGCAGCGTGAGGAAAAATTGGATATTTTATTCTGAGATAGGTTTCTCGTCAGTCTCATTCGATCGATTCCACTACAGACGACTGTGAAAAAGTGGAGGGCTGAGTTGTCTAGAAACTGAAGAATTTTTTCGACATGGTAAAGATCGGGATATTGCGCTTTTTCTTTGATGGTCAATTTCGACTCTGTAAAAGAAAAGCCTTTCATGATTGGAAATGATGGCCATATCTGTCCCTCATCTTCATTACATTGGCTTGTTGATGAAGATGAGTTTTCTTCTCCTTCGTTATTTGAAATTTCCTGAATGGTAAAAAATGATGAGTTTTTAAATCACATGTCGTTATTTTCAAAATGATAAATTTATCAAAATCTAAAGTATTCAATTAAAATCTTGATATTTTTTATCGTACTGTACGTTAAGTCATAATGAGTTTATTCGAGAAATCTACAAGAGGCACTTCCACGAAACAAATGAGTGCATCAAATACTTCAAACTTTCAAATACTATCGAATATGAGCAGCTCAACTGACAAGGACACTTTAATAGATGAGATGCAACAAAAAATTGGTGATCTGTTAAAATGTAATCAAGAGTTATGTGTTTTACGGAAAGAAAATGAATCACTCAAACAGCAAATTTCAAATCTTCATATTCAATCAATTTCAACCAAAGAAGAATATGATCGAGAAATCGAACAATTGAAAAAAGTGATTTCACAGCATATTGAAACAGAAAAACAACTCAATGAGAAACTGGAACAGCTCAGTGACTCCAATTCTAAATATAAAAGTCAAATAACCCAATTTCAATATCAAATGAGCAAAATGCAAGAAAATACAGAACAACTAAGTGAAAAGTATATGAAGCAAATATCTCAAAATAAAAGCACAATTGAAGACAAAGATAAAAGGATTTCAGAACTAAAAGGACAAATCAAAGAACTTAAAACTCAAAGTTCTATCGATTCCAATGCTTTTCTCCAACAAAAGGCAGAATTTGAAAAGTTAGGTGAAGAATCAATTGAATATCAAAATCAGATAGATCAATTCCAAAAAAAGTTTAAACTTCAAAATCGTGCTTTAAAGCAACTTAACAGTCAAGTAAAACAAAAAGATTTATCTATCAATGAACTACAAAGTCAAATTGATGCCTATACTGAACATGAGTCTAAATTATCTACTGAAATAACTACTTTGAATGATTCTGTAAATGGAAAGGATCATAGAATTCAGGAATTAGAGGAAATGTGTGCACAAATAATTAAGTTTTGTAAAGTGGAAAATTATGAATCTGTATTTGATTACATTAAAAAGAAAAGACACGAAAATAAAATGCTCAAAAGAGCCATTAAATCTTCTCAAAAAGTCATGAAAGAATCACAAGTAACATATCAAAATAATCATAATGCATTTGAAGAAAAGTTGATTGAAGTTTCAGACCAAAGAGATGAAGCCAGAAAAGAAATAATCAATCTTCGAGAAATAATAAAAGGAAAAGAAATGGAAAATGAAAATCTCATCATTCGTTTAGCTAGATTTGAAAAAAGAGATTTAATTAGAGGAACAGTTTCCAACTGCAACAAACTGCTGGTGGATAGAATTTACCGTATATATAGTTTGGTTGATCCAGATAAAGAGCTTCCAACATTAAAATCTATTATTCATGCTTCATTAATGCTGAGAAGATGGATTAAACTTCAAGGAACTAAAAAGAAATATGAAAAAGATGGAAGAAATTGGTGGTGGCTTGTTCCTAATGATGGAGATCATTCAGACAAATTCTATTTTGCAGTTCAAGATAAACTTGTTCAATTAAGTGATGAACAAAAGAAAAACGAAAAACTTACACTCGAAAATTCAGAAATGTCAGATAGAATTCAAACTCTAGAAAAAGAAATCGCTCAAAAGAATGAATTGCTAAGTGAGAACCAAAGTAGAATAGAAAACATGGAAAATTCAATTAAAGAAAAAACGAAAATTTTGGAAAGTAAGGTTAGCAAGGAAGATATGGATATTGTGTGTGATAAATACTCTCAACTAAAGAAGTACTTAAAATCAACATTAGCAAGTGTTCAACAAAAAGACGAACAAATTAATGAATTGTCAACATCACTCGCAAATATTCAACAAGATCATGAATGTAGTATACGAGAATCAGAAAGCATCAATGCTGAACTTGAAGAAGCTCAAAAATCTAATGAAAAATTGCAAGATGAATTAGAATTAGTATATCATGCTTTAAATGAGAAAAATAGAGAAATGTTGCTTTTAGAAAGAAAAATTGCTTTAGGTGAATCAGAAAAATCTGTCATGCATTCACATATTTCTTCGGTCGTTGCGGATAATCAAAGACTAAACAAAGCAGATTATTCGAGCATAAATATAAGAAATTGCGAGGATTCAGATATTTCCCACCGCCTGCGAATTATGGCCAATAACCTTTCTGGTACTTTATGTGATTAATAAATATTTGTTAAAGAATATATATATTTCGAACATATCTATTTTTAAGAAATATTTTTATAATTAATTATATAATATGTAGCAACGAAAAAACTTAAGAGAGTAGCACTATATTGTAGGATTTTCACCTAAAATTTTAACTTTGGAATTATTGAGCAACTTATTAAAACATGCTAATTCTTTGCAGGTTTGACTCTACTGTTGTTGATTTGAGAAGTTTTACAGACTTAAAACTTTAATAATATTTGTTTTAAGGTTTTTCATTTGGTTTTTGACTCTTTGAAGATTAGTTATTATTTCTTCAGATAATTATCTGAATCCTTCACGTTGGGGAATTATATCTCCAATAATCATAATAGATAATCCGGCTTCATTTGTTAGTTTGATGATTGGAATCGTTTGATTTCAGAAAAATAGAAATGTTTGAACATTGACAATCACCGTGGGCAACAGAAATCATGGATGTTGAAATCCGTAAGAGGATTTGAAACTTCTTTTCATATTAGCAGAATTTTCCCAATCATCATCAAAGCCTTTGAATTAAATAATAAGTATTTCAGATTCATAATAAAATATCCTTTTAATATCTTTTATAAAAGGGACTGATAATGTGTTCATATTAAAGAACCCTTTTGTTGATATAATATATTGTGTAATTAATATATTGAGTGTGTTAACTTTCCGTTTGTTGTTTTCTTAAATGATGTGAAATTCCAAATATTTAAAAAAATATTAATTGAATATCAAATGGCATTTTAATAATGCATTAATTCATGATATTAAATTGATGAACCCAAATTGGATTATGTGAACAAAAAAATTGAAATATTTGAGCAGAATGAGTTTTAAAAAGTAAATTCTTGAAGATTGGAAAAAAAACTTGATAACAAAAATTTCAATGAAAATATCATCATTATTTTTAAATATAGGTAATGAACGAATCTTTCAGCTTGGGTGGTTAGCTCAGTGGTAGAGCGCTACATTTGCATTGTAGAGGCCAGGGGTCCGACTCCCCTACTATCCATCTTTTTTTTCTTTTTTACAAGGGGATGTTATAGAGAACGTTTATATTTCGATTTTCACCATGAGTGATTCAGATGAAGAGTTCACTCAAGAAACTCAAACAACAAACAACGAATTAGAAGACGGTCGTGTTGCTCGTCTTTTTCTTTACAAAAGTCGAGAACGTCAATCAGTTCGAAGGCAACAATTGAAACCAGTTTTGGACGAATACCGCGAAAAGTCACGTGCAAAAAGAAGAGATCCTATCAAATCCGCCAGCAAATTATTAACCGAGTCGATTGGCCTTCAAATCGTTGATGGCCTTGCACCAGGCGAAAAACCTTCTCAAAGCGGCAAAAACTTTCTTGTCAGAACTCACAAATATCCAAAAGATGTACCTTTGCCTTTTACGGTCCAACAGAAGCAAGAATTTGGATTATTAACCTTATGTTTTTTCATTGTTTATTTCAAAGGAGATTTGGTCGATATGGACCAATTATGGCAAATTCTCGAAAACAGCGGCGTTCCAGCAGAATCAGATACTTTCGGGAAATTAACAGATTTATTAAATAAATGGATATCACAAGATTACTTCAAATCGAAAAAGAAAGAAAATGATACATCCGCTGGTCCTAAAAAGGTGATTTCATTGGGTCCGAGGTTCTATGCTGAGTTTGGAAATGATGTATTGATGGCAATGGCCAAAGAACTGGTTTGTGATGTGACTCCACCAGAAGAAGATGAAAATAATGACGGAAATAACATAGAAGTTGAAAATGACACAAATGACGAACACGATCGGGGAGAATACCAAGAAAGAACCCAGCTGTCTGACAGCGAAGACTCAATTGAAGAAGTTCCACAGAAAAAGGGAAGAAATGTCCGAGAACAGCAAAAGCAGAAACAGAAACAAAAGCAGAAAAAGAAAGGAAGAAGGGAAGTCGAATCAGACTGATTTTCATTCTTTTCTGACTCCCAACTTTATGAAAGAAGTGTGCAACCAAACTTTCACCGACAGATCGTTCCCAAATTTTGACAGCTTCTTATATAGCAGTAGTATAATAAAATAAACCATACTTCGGGAAAATCTGTCTAGGAATTATCGAGAAACGAAATTTCATTCAAATGCATAAATTTTTGTGAAGAAATTAGGTCAAATAATTTTACCATGCACATTTTTAAAAAATGTGTCAGTTTGAAAGAATTCCATACGTTTATTCTTACAAAAACTGGTAATTTATTCAATCATTAAAACTTTTTATTAAATGATATTTCTTTATTCCGAAGGTATTGATTCTATATAACTATCTAAATATGCTTTT